GAATAATACAATTGATATTTCAAGCTGGGAGTAATTAATTTTTCTTCGTTGGGCCAGATGACTCTGACAATTGCAAAAATGATCTCACAAATTTCCTTTTCCTCTGTATAAAAATTGGGACACCCATTAAAATGTCAAAGACACAACCCCCTCTACTTAAATTACTACCTATGGCATAGAAATTGTCTCGGGCAAAATGAAGGCACGTCTACCTCCTGACAAAGAAGAAAAAAATAAGGGAAAACTTACCAGAAATGAAGAACAAACATTACGACATTTTTACAACACATTACGTGATCTACAGTCGTCTTTAATAGGATTGCTCAATTTTGCATGCCCAGTGGTAATCTCTGGTAGGACTTTCCCTAGACGTTTAATTAACTTACTTTTTTGGGTTTCAAAGCTTCATGAGTTAATTGAACTCACAGAAGAAACAAAAGCAGACATAAACTCCTGGCTTATCTCTCTCGCAGCATTCAATTGGAAATCTCTTTTTTTTGTCCCCAAAATGGTTATCATCTGATCACCTTACTCTATATACAGATGCTGCTGGATCTATAGGGTTTGCAGCCATCTTGGGTTTTAAATGATATGCATCACGCTTGACTTTGACTAATGACATGACGGAATATCAGATAGACCTTTAAAATTATTTCTATTCGCTATAGCAATAGGATTTGTTTTTTTTAGGGGAGGGGATTAGAAACAAAAAGGTTTTCTTCATGTCAGATAATTAAGCAATTGTCCAAATTATTAATAAACAATCATCTAATGAGAATGTCATCATGAGATAAGTACGTCGTCTGGTATTGTCAACCTTTAGATACAATGTGCATTTCAGAGCTATACACATCTCTTGGAAGCACAACATAGCTGCTGATCATTTATCTCGTTTTAATTTTCAGACTGGGTTCAGTTTAATGCCTCAATTAAACCACCAACAGACGCCAATACCAGTGAAGTCCTTGGCAAATTGAGTCAGCAAGCATGCCCTTGACAAACAACACCAAGTCTTCCTACAAAAGAAGTTGGGATTTGTTGCTACAGTTTAATCCCACTGTGACCTCACTACCAATTTCCCCTTGAGTTACAGATATCCGACTCAATTGCTCACCTCTTTACCATGGGTTATACTTCTAGTAGCATATCATTTCATATTTCATTTATAGGCTATGCACGTAAAATTCTAGGTCTCTCAGATTCATCACTGTTATCTTTGGTTTTCACAATAGTGCAAGGATGTCACCATTCAGCTCGTTAATGACACCAGGGGACCAATAACTGGCCCCATTCTACGTAACTTAGTAAATGGCTTACAAAAATCAGTACAAAATCTGCACTATAGAATTCTGTTAAAAGCCATTTTTCTGTTGGCATTTACTACTTTTTTGAGCTTGGGGGAACCTGTAGTAAAAACCAAATGTTCGCTGATCACAGTCAGTCAACTAGAAAACGTTTCATTTAAACTATTCAACAACTCCCCCTTTTGAGGTTGTCCTATTACTGAGAATTTTTTTTAAAACAAATAAGAAAAAAGACCTCTTCCAGATTACCCTGAGAGTCTTGGATAACAGTGACATGTACCCTGTTTTAGCATTTTATCTCTATCTTCAAGCCTTTAATCACCAGTCTTGTCCCCTGACGTTTTTTATTATAGTTATTAGTCCTTTATTTATACACTGAATTGACGACGGATTTTACATTATTTCCCGATCATGACATAGAGCACACAGCGGGTTTGACCGGTCAGGAGGGGATGCTCACTCCTCCATGGCACCTGCTCCCACCTTTGATGATTCTGCTCCTATTTTGTATTGTTTTATGGACTTTGATATTAAATACTGTTCGTTATCTCCATATCCCTCTTCCAATTCATGGGAGGTGACCTAGTTCCTTATGCATTTATCTTAAGACATTTTTACTACACAGTCTTGTTAATTGGCTTAAACCCTGTCCTCTATAAAGGTCATCGCTTTTGCATATACAGAGCTGTAAATTGAATTGAAGTAAAACATGTGACTCTCTGTTTACCGTTTACGAAATTTCACTGCAATAATGGTGTTTTCCATCTTTCTTCTTGATTGCAGCAATGTTCCCCTTGCTTGTCAATACAGTACCATTTAATTCATTTTTTAATTTTCGGTCTAAGGAAGTGGTTTTAATACTAGATGTCGAGGAGAATGCTCATAGGAAAGAAGAAGGTATGGTTTCCATACAAATTTTGCCCTGTGATTTTCTAAAAAATGAAACTGGTGTTAAAGTTGAAAACTCATGTTTTTTAAATAATTGCAATTCAATGCGGAAAAATCATACAAGTCAATTTTCTCACATGTGTTTTTAAATGCTAATTATGACGTCATAAATATGTGCATTTTCCCGTATTTTCTTAAAAAGTTGCAGAAGACACCAATTTTCAATGGAATTTTTTTTCAGATAACATTGTCCACAGGCATCGCCCACAAAAAATCTTGAGAAATGTGATTTGTTATTGAATTTTGCACAAAATATCAAAAAAGGCAAAAATTAACGTGGGTGACGGCTGTGGACACTGTTTTCTAAAGGAAAACCTTCTTTGAAATGTGCCATTTTGAGGCTTTTTATGCTGAAAATAGAGAAATGCTTCACATTAATGACGTCATATTTGCAGAATGGTAAACCTTTATGCCATATTCTTTCCTGATTTATCAGAGTCATTTATTTGAATAATATTTAAGCCAGTTTCAAAATTTTTTGAATGTCATTCCATTTTTAGGGCGCAATAAAGCTAAAACCATACCTTCTTCTTTCCTGAGACACATCTAACGAAAATTTTAAGATCATCAAATCATTGTCAGAAATCTGAGAGTGTTCATATTAGCCATGTAATGGAACGTGTCATGTATATCATCATACTGAAAATAGTTTTAAAATGTTTAAATTAAAAACAGGGAATTTTAACATTTTTTATGTATTATATACATGCATATACTTAAACATATTATAAGAATATATGTTTTTTAAACAGTCATCTGAAATACACGATATAACAATTTGCATTATAAGTCAAATAGAGCTCGATTTGATCATTTAAAACTCTTCAAAATAAAAGAGCTGGGGTCTGGCAATATGTGAAAAAATAAGAAGGTAATTATCATCAACAACTGTTTACGGTAGAAAAAGTGATGAAGAAATGGTCCCTCTGTATGAGTTAGACGACAAAGAAGGCTGTACAAAATCTTCATCAGCAAAGTAGTCAGAAGGGTTTTTGTTATTGTAAGGCTAAAAATTTACGTACATGTAGCATCTCTTTTCAAAGCTGTGGTCTACCCGAGGATTAAAACTTTCTTTAAAAAATCTTAACAAGGAAATAAAACCAAAACAAAATAAAAAAGAACAGGAAAGAACAGGAAAGGGTAAAAAAAAACAAGCAATAATAAAAAAAGAATGTTGTCAACACACATATTGTTTTTACTCAAACATAATATAACCCTCATTTAACATGTACTCTTGTTTGACAATACTCAAACCAAAATGGGTGACCGAACTTTAAATATTTCTGAAAAAATGCTGGACCACCCCTGTCCCCTGATGTCACGTGCCTCCTTAATACTCTGTCACGTCTTATATTACGATTTTATCATATGTTGTCAGTTTCGCTGAAGATAAACTTAAGATGTGTAAAAAGGTCTGCTCATTTTAAGATTATTGCTGAAAACCTTTCTTAAGTTAAAATAATAGTACTTTTGTAAACCCCACTTAATCTTAATGTCTTATAAGTATATCTTAAAACTACTAAATACTAAATATTTACAGTGTTACGTAATGTCAATTTGTAGTTTATATATATACACTCAGTTGTAAAGAAAGACAATGCCATAGTACATCCTAGTCCAAAATATTTTACCTTTTTCGGCTTCTTTACGGTTTTGATATTGAACATGCCAAGAAAACGTCAGAACTGGCGCCTTTACGAAAATGTAAATTGTTATGTAAATTTCGCCGTCTTTAATCCGAGTTGAGTTTCGATACTTGCAAACCGACCCAAATGCTGAAATCAGAATATATTAATAGCACAATGTATTAGTACTTATCAACATCAATGAAAACAAAATATCACCGCAAATTTCGTTACAGTGTTTGCAAGAATTTTGAAGGCCCGAATTGAAGACACATCTCGTCAGTCTGATAAAATGTCATAAAATGTCATAAAATGTAATATTTTATAAATGAACCATAAAAACGGCACTTGTAAGTGCTAAAGCAATTGTACTTTGGGTAATTTTTTTTTTGTCTGCAATATCTAAAATAGCCAAAGAAAGTCGCCTTCAGTTGGTGGCAGTAATTTTCCAGTTTTCGTAATGGATCAGGTTCTAACGATTTCCTTGCACGTGAAATATCAAAACTTGAAAAAATCCAGGAAAACCTTTTCTTTACAACTGTTTATACTTGAATGAAACACTGTAAATATTTAGTGTTTAATAATATCAATATTCAGATATTCCTTGAGGTACGTTGCAATTCTATAGGAAAAACAGATAAAATATGTATATATCAATCCTCGGCTGACTCCGCTACACTTTATTCAAACCTCGTATGTGATAGATGGAGGGATACGCAACAGGTCGATACAAGTGTCATCCGGAAACTGCCTTGTCACTCATTTCATATTTCGCTCTGCCTAAACTTTTCTTATGAAAGGTTTCTTTATTTGTCTAACTATTCATTTAAGCACTGAATCATTTTTTGTTTTTTGGATGTCTTTAGTCCTAATAGCCGTTTGTGACGTCAAATGACGTTGCAAAGTTTAATAACGCATATGCAAACATTGCGAGGAAAAAAATGATAAATTAATTCTTTATGCACATTACGATAATTTTTACGTTAATTTATCAGGGTAATAGTTTTTCATTAAATTGAAGTAAACCATTTTACATTTTGGTGTTCCTAGAGTATTGAAAATGCATATAGTTCCTACAGTGTATAACGCCCTCTCTGTTATAGAAATTTGAACGTCGTGGATTTCTAATGGATTTCATAAGAAAATTATGCTGTATATAAATATTGTACATTGCTTTTAATTACAACTAAATGTAGGTAGTATTTGAAAGCAAAACATGGTGTTGAGTGTGCCACAAAATAACTTGGACTTCAAAAGTATTATTTTATAACATTTAAATGAAATTCAAATAAGATCACATGACTGAATCAACAAGAATGGCACTTGTGTGCGAGGTATGAATTCAAAGAGCTCCGACTGTATAGATATTACGAAAAGTATTCGAGCTTAAAAGTCCGTTAAACATTATAGAATAGGATTTCTAACAATTCAGAGGTTGGATCAGGTGCCACGGAAGAGTTAGCATGTAACAAAATTCAGAAGTGTCCAATATCTAATCACTTTCCAGCGTAAAATAACTAGTCACTCGAAATATCGCATATAATATGAGAAAACCGATCCCGATCACAAAAGAAATGATGGTGAGGTTGCGTGCTCCTTTTGCTTCCCTATGTGCTTTTGCCAAATCACCAACATAGACCGCATCTTTTGCCTTTAAAAACGAAAAAAAAATGAGATTAAAAAAAAAGTGGTCGATCTAGACTGGAAAAATATAAAACAATACGAATATGAAAAGAGGAAAAGAAGTCATAAAATTCGTATTTGAGGAAATTGCAGAGGGTGAATCAGTGCTGGTGCCTAGAAAAGTAAGTGTCTCATGTTGACCGGTCACCCTCTCTCATCAATTTTCGACTTGCCCATAAAAAATTGGGCAAAAGAAAGAGAGCTTATGCAATTACCCTCCGCGTCCCTGGTTGAAAGTTTCCACAAGCAATACATTTCCTTTATCGGGATCCCCTTTTCTCTTAAGGATACAAGCTAGTGCACAACGAAACTGATTATTATCCCCATAAAAAATACGATGACATAATTCCGTCAAAAATTAAAGACGCGGAACAAAATGCAAAATTAATCTTAATTTTATGAGGAAACAACCAAAATCAGCTCAATAACTGCAAGCGTTAAATAAAAAAAATTCTTAAACCAATGAGACAGACAGAGGGACAGCTAGACGGACAGCTCAACAGACAGACGGACAGACTCAGAGAAAACCTATAGATGAATTAGCTTTCATCGATGGGTAGCCAAAGGCTCATATGCCAAAGGCATATCTTGGATCACGTCAGTACTATGATCATCAAACTTTGTCAGTTGATATAACTTGGGTCCTTGGACAATGTCGACTAAAATTAGGTAAGAGTGATCTTCTTTTGAAAGTTTATGCCTATATTTAAACATCTCAGGTAATTATTATCTTAGAATCCTCATGCTTTGCTACATGTAATTGACGCATCTTTGGTCTTTGGAGAATGCCAACCAAAACTTAGGTCACGATGAGCTCCTCTTGAAATTTTACACATACATGTGTATATTGAATTGTTTCAGGCCTTAAATGGTTTAGATTTTACAATTTTTTGTCATTTAATATTTCTTGGGTCCTTGGAAAATGTCAAACAAAAAAGTAAGTCAACATGGCCTACTTATGTAATTTATGGCTTAATTCAAATTATTCGTCCTTATTGGCTAATAAGAATCATCAAACACTATCAGTTGATGCATCTTTGGTCCTTAGAATCAGTAATATACTTAGCCAACTAAGGAGTACAATATTCACCAAGCCCGGAGGACGAGGTGAAAATTGTGTTTCGAAGGTGACTAAATTATTGACCGAAAAAAAAGAACAACATTTGTTTTATTATATGATTCAGTGATAAAATGATACAACTTATTACTTATTTGCATTTGCTGAAGTCCAATAAGTAAGAGAGAGGCAGGGCTACAATGTAAATAAACATAACCAGTTGTATTGATTTGAAATTTTGAAATGTATTTGTATAGTTTCCATGAAAAAAAACTTAAAGCTAAGAAAAAGGGGTGTCCCTGCAATCCCTGTATCCTCTACAACCTTATTTATAAATTCCCTAATATTATGTTCATATAAGTAAAAGTCTGTAGCAGGTAAAGTACCTTTCCAAAACTGTGCTGGATCTCAGTCAATCAGAAAAATAGGGATTATCACCTCATATAATACAATATTCAACACTATATTTTACATTATATTTTCAATAACATATGTAAATACCTGTTTTGCAGACTTTATGGCGAAAATGGCAGTTATACAACAGCAGAACAGAGAAAGAATAGCAGGGATCATCCAGTCTCTGGGCGGAACTTGGGGTACGTTAGTAGGTGCCTGGCCAGGCTGTGGGGCCTACGGATATAAGTAAAAAATCGATATCAATTAGCGATTTATATTACAGATACACTTTATGACAAGTTATATTAATAAAGAAATTTTAAAATATATTCCTTGGAGTGGAGCATACTTATTTCGTAATCAGGAATCTGATACATTTATTCATAAACCTGTTATTAAAAAAGGGTTCTTTTTGTTCAATATTCCAGAAGTGACAAAAGAAATAGATAGATTACATGATCAGTACGTACTGGTCCCTGCCGATAAAGCAGGTATTTTAGAAGAATTTGGATTTAATTTTACAAGTGGTAATCATACTCATACTTCCCTTTCTAAAGAAGAAATTTTTCAAAATCTCACGACAGTTATGACTTTAACTTTATACAAAACGATTCTCAACAATTAATTATTATCCAAATTTTGATATCATTGACAGCTCTTTTTCAATAAAAACGGAACTCGTAAATTTACTTTCCAGGTCATTGGTCATCTGCAAAATTATTTTGTTAAAACACATTCTGCTTGCACACAAGTACTCTGAAGTTGACATCAAAAAGATGCTTGAGTTTTAGATTTACAATATCTATGTGGATTTTGGAGACCAGGTCTTCCAACAATCTATGGGAATTTCCATGGGTACCACTTGTGCTCAGTTATTAGCAGACCTAATTTTGTATACATATGAAGCAGAATTTGTGCAAAATCTTATGCGTGAAAAGAAGAAAACACAAACTGTGGCCTTTAACTCGACAGTTAGATATATATTGACGACGTATGGCTATTAATAGTGGTAATTTCCATTCCTACGTTGATACGTTATATCTTGATGAGCTTGAGATAAAAGATACCACAGAGTCTGACACACCTGTTTCAAATTAGGAAATTGTACTTAAAAAGACGTTAATGGTAATCTAACAACCAAGCTATATGATAAACGTGATGACTTTCTATCGTCAACTTCCCTTACTTATGCAGTAATAAACCTTCATCACCTGCATACGGAGTGTATATATCTCAGTTAACTTGATTCGATGCACAAAATCATGCTCTACATTTGAGCAATTTCTAACGAGGTAAATTACTAACAAGCAAGTTGATGAAACAAAAATATCAGCAGTCTCGTTAAATGTCACCATTTCGTAAGTTCTATTGTCGATACAATGAGCCTATCAGCAAATACAGTTTATAATTGAGTAAAATGCAAACTGACGTTTTTTCATACTAATTGATTTAAAATCATCTAGTATTAGCATGCATATCTAACAATATGTAGTCACCATCTAATTTTTTAAAAATCAGAAAAATTATTTGTTTTATAACTCGAACACTGTAAGCCTTTGTAATTTATCAATATACTGCAAAAGATCGTCGGAATATTGAATTTTCCATTTTACGAGTATCTTGATTCTAATAATTTTTAAAAGTTTAAAGTAACCAGTTAAAGTGTATAAAATAAATTTATTTTTGTTAATTAAAACGTAAAGTAAAGAACACTAAAAAGTAATTTTTAAGAAAGTCATTGTCAAAAAAATGAGAAATGAGAAGATTGTATTAGTTCTTTACGTCCCAAAATGAATTCTCACCACAGTATTATTTTTTATCCCAAACGGAGCACGAATTCCCTGATATCGATGCGAAACAGGAATGCCATCTTTATTTTCATATTGAACACCGTCTAGTTGTGAATTTTGACTTTGATATTCATTGTTCCAGTTTAAATACGTAAAGCGAGCATTGGAAGCATCTGAAAACTGGTTGTTTGTTGGTAAACCTATAAAACGTTTGAAAAATTTAAATTAAAGTTTACTAGAATCACAAATTGAGTTGATTTCATGTACATGGTTTGCATATGATAATTTTCTGCTTGAGTATTTTCTGATTCCTGTAAAGGTCCTAATTGCTTTTTGTTCATTAAAGTATTGGAGAAACAGAGTTGATTGTCATATTGTTAGTACATGTATATGATAACATGGATAAGTTTTAGTGAAATAATAAACACATGGTAGCATTATAGAAACTTCCCCTAACAGGGCTTTTATGATTGTCCTCTTTCCGCACACGCACAACATGAAACACTTTCTATACGTAGCCTTATATATTTTTCTGACCTTCAAGTTATTAAATTGAAATATTCTCCGTCTGTCTTTTTTCAAACTGCTGGCATGATTTAACTGTTGAAGTTTGTGTTTTACTCAGAACTACTTTTGAGCGTTTTGACTGTAATTAATGCTCTGCGTTTTAGAAGCTCTCCTGTGCTTATCAGGAGATATTGAAAATTAAAAATAACTTGTGTACTTATTAAGGATTTTCCTGAAGTAATATGTATAAATGTAAGACTTCAAAGTGCGATGGTGACACCAAAGTCTGATGGTCTCGCCAAACTCCGATGGTCTGCGCCATACCCCGATGGCTTGCTGTCTTAACGGACACCAAAGCCTGATCGTCTTGTTTCCTATGAGAGAAGATGCGTGAAAGTGCGATTGTCTGATACGCTAAGTCCCATGGTGCGGAGGAACATTCAATGTTTATGACGTCACAATAGTCCGATATGCCATTGTCATAAATTCAAAATCCATTGAATCAGTATTAGTCTCGTATATATACAATTTTATTGATTTTGCTCATTGTTTTCACCCATCAGAGGCATTCCTCGCACCCTTATAGACTGATAATGGTTAGTCCTTGAACACTATTAATTGATAATCTTTTCTTTGAATCCACTCAAGAGATTTTAATTTATAGTCCTCGACTGATTTGAATTAGTCCAGCACCCATCCAAGATATTCAGGTTATAGTTACTGGGTATTATGCATTTTACGACTGATTAAGGTTAGTCTCGTACCTATATCCATAGGTTGAGGGTTACTCTTTGCATTTGATATTGATATGTATTAATCTTATTTTAAACAAGCGGGCCTTAGCATAGCACGGCTTCGCATTTTTTGCGCAGTAGCACTATGACGTCATTAACGTCTATTGTTTTCTGCACCACCGGACTTTGGCGTGTCAAACTATCGGGGTAAGGTGCAGACCCTACATAAAAAAGGGTATCATTATTCAAAAGGCACTACAGACAATTACACCTTTGGAAGAGTCTTGATTTTAACTTAAATAGAAACAATTAATAAATTATTATACTATGAATCAAAATTATTAAATCACAAATAAAATTGAAAAAAAATATCATGTCTAGATCTCTTGTTTGTGTATTTGGCAATATTTTCTGTATTTTTTGTGTGTTTATAATCTCACAAAAGCATATTATTTTAAAAGAACTTTATTACACTTGTTCAAGATAGAAAGTCCAACAGGTGGAAGCACTGAAGACAGAAAGAAAGAGAGAAAGACGGCTAGCCAGAAGAATGGACAGACAAAGAGAGGTTACTCTTTTGTGTTTTATTTAATCGTAAAAGACCCGAAATAACTTAAAATGTCTTTTGTACATGTATACATGTACATGTTCCGAGTCATTGATGTTCCTAAACTGGTTTAAAACCTAGTGCTTATGCACCTGTGTAGAATGAATGAATTCACTAATGCATTGCGAGATCGTTGAAATGTAGATATCAGCATACAATAGTATATTTATTGTTGTTTACTCTAAATCTTTTATATTTCAATTGTATAAGTATCATAATAATTACCAGATACATGTACTGTCTTCTGTAAATGTTAAGAATAGGTCTATTTACAGATGAGGATTATTATATCTATAAAATGCCTTATTGATATAAAGATCAATGTATTTCCAATTTTTATACATTGGCAAAGTTTACTTTTAAAAGAAGAATCTTGATGAATCTTTATGACAATCAAAAGTCGAACCTTTTCACTTCATTTGTCAAAAATGCTACAAACAATACAATGCTAACACATGAGGCACCACCATTCTTGTGGTTTTATAGAAATAATTATACTGAGGACGCGCACATAAAAACACTTTCAATTTATTTTGAGGTAAATAAATTTAAAAAAACAATGAAAGTTACTCACCTCCTGATTTATCCACCGAAAGCATTTTCACACCGGCTGTGTATTTCCAAAGTGTTTTCTACACTATTCCTTATATTTAAATGTATGTACGTAATAAAAGTTGGCAGCAGCATTGAGTCTATTATAACGGGTTATAAAGGGGGTTCATTGAATTAAACATATGCAATGCGCATTGTCCTCCACGTAAGGCTGCATTTAGTAAAATTGCCTATATTTCAATAAGATCCCGCAATTTCATATTAGATGAGAAATGTTGTACAATTGATACAGTAAAGTATTTTCAAGATATTTAATTGTTTCTATAAACTACATGATTCCATTGTGTACAGAAGTGCACAAAAGATATTGTGAATACTACTGAGCAGCGCATAATTGCAGATTCAAATTAAATTTTATACGACCTTTACTTTATCGACCCCAGGGAGTATTGACAATTCTTTTCTTTCCAGATTTCTTTTAAAAATAGCCTTTTGACGTAACGCGCGATGTTGGTGCAACTCTACAAAGAAACTGACCTATTAAACTCATCGGTGATTAAAAAAATGCTCGCAGTATGGAAGTATTTGGTATGAATGGATATACTTTTAACAGAACTACCCGATTCTAGTAAGAAAATAACATTTAAATAACTTTTATGCAAAAAGTTTAGAATTTTAAAGCGCAAATATAAGATATTTTAAGCATTTAACGCGTTGCATTTTTTAGTAGAAATCGTGTGTAGAGTGTTCAAAAGTGAATCTAGAATTTTCATTTTCCTCACAAAACAAGAGCAATCCATGTCCTTTGCATTTAATGTTGAAAAAACATAGAAAGCAATAGCTTTTACAGATGAAGAATCTGTAACGCTTTAAATTTAAAAACGTGCAAGTGAATATAAACAATAAATTTACTAATTTACAAGAAATCGTAAATAGAAACAAATAATATCAAAATAATGTGCTTTTCCTATAGATTTGAAAAATTTCATTGATGTTGATATTGGACTGCATGCTTTGGGGCCAGTGATGGGATTACAAGTTCAACAGAATTGTCCAGCGTTTAAATGACCTGTCTACAAGTACCTGTGATCAGTAGGAGACAGGTATAAATATGTGTTTTTACCTCCCGTTTCAACAAGCTACATTCTTCACCAATTAAGGGAAGTTTCCGAGAAATGACAGAAAACGTTTGTACTAGAAACTTGTAAATACCTGCAAAATGAAAATCGCTGAAAATTGTCAGGAAAAATGGGATGCAGTGGTCATAGGGCTACTGAAAAAGTTATTTATCCATAACACTAACTGAATATGAACCCATCCCGAATCTGCAAAATGCCCTGGTACATTTTCTTCATGTAATTCGCATTAGTGAAATCCAAAAAGGGGAAGAAGGCTCAACCTTTTTTCAAGTTTAAAATTAGTACAGTCCTCTGTCGTACAGGTGAAAGATACTTAGTAGATCACAGATAAATATCTTATACTTTCATAATTCATTGTATAATTTAGAAAATGTCTTATGCTAATATTTTCGTCAATGTTCTATTCGAGATCGAAATCCTTCCGATTCAGATTCATTTTCAGATTCGATTTATATTCAGAAACATCTCTAATTAAAAATACTTTTGGGTAAAATCGATAAAATCTGACATGACAATTCATTGACTTTCATTGAAAATTGTCACCAGAAAGTTATCTTTCCTATCAGTGGGACACAACACCTTAAGGGAATTTAAGTCGATCTTAAAAATCTTTTAACAAAACAAATAATATTATGTGAACAGGACATAAACACGGACCTTTTTGAAATTCCCTAGGGTGGATCTGGTGCTTAGTAGATGCAAGCATCCCCTGCTGACAGGTCTCACCCGTCGTAAGCTATAACAATTATATATCTGTCCATCTAATAGTCTATTCATTCATACTGAAAACATCAATCCATTGATGAATTTATCAGTGTGTTGTCATGTTTTCTGACTTCCTTGAAGTTATAGGCAGCATCATTCTCTCTTTCAGAATGCGATGTTACAGATTTAAAGGATATTCAATGATGATTTATTTTCCTTACAATGATTTTTTTTCCCTTTTGTCTCTGTCTTTTTTATTATAATATTGTAGCCTGTGACATCAAAGTTGAGCTGTTATAGGAGAGATCAGAGCGATTAAAAGGTGTAAAAATGGATTTTTACTATAATTTGGGAACACGTCTAGCAATATCAGTCAGTATCGGAATCATAGAATTTTTATTTCATTTCTAAATGGAAAGAAAAGAGAAAATTTGACATATATTGACAGTGAAGACTGCCTCTTGAAAGTTAAAAAGTGTTTTAAAGTATATTGATTCAAATGAAAAGAAATTATAGACTATACCAACTGACCAAGGACCTATATACTATAGATCTATATTCATGTAGGTCCTTGACTATACATGAACATGTAATATGAATGCGTTCGCTGGTTTGACATCGTCGGAAACCCACAAATGATGCACTTCGGTTCTTTCAACCATCACAAAATTGTTTTTCCCATGAAAAAATTCTTTACAATACAATGTCACTGTTTTCTTAATCTGCAAAATACCGGGCAAATACTTAAGACAATTATTTGTTGGATGTTTTATACATTATTTCTTACCTTATATCTTATTATATGATACCACGGAAAACTGTCTAGCATAAGAAATAAGAAATCTTTAAAGCCAGAAAATTGAATGTTGTTGTTGCTAAGCAACCATTTAAAGGTCATTAAACACAAAGTTGAACAAAAATAATTATGGATATTGCAATTCAGTATGATGCCTTCTAAAGATTACATTTAGAATTTTCTTCTTTAGCATCCATTGTTACCAAAATTTTAGCAAGAAAGATGAAAAAGGTTGAGAATTTTTTTTAAATTATGCACTTATCTGACCTCGACCTCCAACAAAATGAATTTATTGAGGTCAAACTTTAAGACAATTATCTGATGTATTTTCTTTTCAGTATCACATCCCCACATTTGACTTTATGATGTAATGGAATGCATAAATGTGTGTGGAATGAGCAAAACACAAGAAATACTGCCTGAAAATTAAAAGAAAATACTCCGTTGTTAGCAACCTCTTTAAAGTCATTATTTGCAGAATTGAAAAAAAGTGTATGTGATTAATGTAGTAAATGATAATGCCCTTTTGTGAGTTTATTCTGAATTTCCTATTTATAAAATAATCTAGAGTATATGTCAAAAGGTCTGCAAACACACTTAAAATGTGCCGGTAGAGAAAGGGTTAATATGTTAAAATTAACTACAGTGTGTACCTGATTAAAACAAAGACATTTCCCAGGATTTGCATTTTTACCCTGCTCACTGGTATTGTAGGTAGTTTTGAGATATATAATTGTTCGTTATTTAAATAATCAATTTTATTGGATTTCAGTTAGTTATTAATCTGCAACCTCTTCTAATGTTATTCAATTTTAACCATGGAATAAGGAGTAGTGCATTGAAATCAAGTTTTGATGTTTTTTTGTACTTCAAATTTGACCTGAACCTCTTTTTTCAGCATTTTTTTAGCTGATAGAAAGTAGGAAAACAATCAAAACTTTTATCATTTTGCCCCTCCGAATAGGAAATTCTTTGACGTAAGCGGTAGTTCACTATACATACAATGTATATAGGCTTTGTTTACTGGTTTTGACATTAACTCAAAGTAAGCAGCAAGTAAAAATGAGACGACTGTTTATAGTTCAATTACACACCTTGTACTCCTTTCTATAATTAGATATTTATTGATAGCTTATCCGTTGCAGAGTAAAATACGACTGACCCCGGCAGTTATCGTAGCATCTTCTATAACAGTTTGGATTTTTAGCTCACTGTTTTCAGTACTGATATCTATACCAGTACTAGATCCGTCTACAGATAAAAATGGGGAATATATAATCTCTTTCATCAGGATTATTTTTTCGGGATTGACTATCTGTGTGATTTTGACTTTGCATATTTGGAAGATGAAAGCCCTTAAAAAATCTTCTATTTCTACAGGCATCAGCAGGGAAATGAATGTTGTAATTTTGATTATTTTATCAGTTTTTATATGCTATCAAACCTTAAGTATTTTATGCCTCCTGTTTTGGTTATCTTCATTATTTTCTTTTAACTTCCCAGTAATAATCGCTTATTCATACGCAAGAGATATCTTTCTTTTCTTTGGAATTCTGAACTTCTCTTGTAATCCTTATGTACTTTTTTTGGCTTCAATTTTCTCATGCTGCAAACGTAAACAAATAAACACAAATTAATAGCTATATGTGTTACTGTATTTAGTTTATCTTGTTTATTTAAGAGTTTGTCTAAATTGAACAATGTTCCGTAGTCCTTTCAGACATATGAAATTTTATCAAATAAAATCTGCAACATGACCATTCTTTTGTTGCAGATTTTATTTAAGAAAAAAATATGTGTCAAAAAGGAGACTATAATTCTACGTTTTTCGTTTTGGCAGGTAATTTCATACATTCTTTGTATAAAACTTTCATTTCTGTGCAATTTTTCAAGACGTTTTGAGATTTTACAATAAAATATTATACCATAATTGAATTCCCAATGGCCCCTCCCGCCCTTTTCAAAATGTCCCTCAAAATCGCCCCCGACTATTTCCCAAAATTTTGGTTTCTCTGGCGGCCCCATGTGAGCTTTGTCTTTTTCGAACTCCAGAAAAGCGATCTTTAATGTGCGAAGGGAGTTGTCATCCTTGACACGGGGCACCATTTTACGTCCGATTCGGCAGACTTAAGATCTCCTTTATAACATTTATATGTTTAGTTTCTACATACGTAGCTTAATTAAAATTCAAATCAAAAAATGGGGGTCAATACGCTTCTTTTGGCGCTACAGTACATTAAATATGACCTTTTTGCACTGAAATTTGTGTCTTGATTAAATTTTTTTTTGGACATTTCCCCTCCAATATTTTTATCCAATTAAAGCATGAAACAAAATGAACCCTAAGTCTGTTTAAAAAAAAGACACTTAAAAATTGTGACTAACAAAAAGTTTTAACTTGCTTCGCATAATCAATTATTTGACCTTTCTGCACTAATAAAAAGTCATTTTTCTGGCATTGAAAATTTAATAAGCAAGAAACTTATTTTAAAGTCTTAAACTTTTTTCTGATTCTAAGCAAATAGGCCAGATTTATCTTGAATATTTAGAAAAGAACATCAAAAGCTGGGGTATATGATGTAAATTTTCAGATATTACTAAAAAAGTGTCAATTTTACGTTAAAATTGGCTCAATTTTTTCCCGGATTTTCAGAATATATTTACTATATTTGTCACTCTTTGTCGAAAAAATTCATAAGAAATAATTTAATAGATATTTCAGAACCAGCATAACACATTTAACTGCAAAAAAAACCCAGCTTTTTGTGCGACTAGGAAGGAAAAATAGGAATCCAAAATTAACAGTACTGTTATAGTTCAAAATGGAAAAACTTATCACTTTCGTCTAAAAAACCTTCCGCCACAAAATATAGTACCTATCTTACCTCTACTTGAATGGAATTTAATCGCTGTTTTTTTTTTTTTTTTTTTTTTTTTTTCAAATAGTTAAATTTGCACTGTAGAATTCAGATTTTAGGTTAGAACTTAAAAATGATGCAGAATTTTATAAATAAACACTCACTCGGTCGTCCTTAGACGACCAACGACATGACCACTCCAGTTCTTCCTGTCAGCCATTAGGGAAGCTAGCTCATTTGTGTCCCTTGTCTTTGTGTCACGCTTTAGTGTGTCTAAAAACGTGGCCTTGGGTCTACCTCTCCTACGGCGTCCGTGATTTGGCTCCCACAGTACCAAAGATTGAGCGCTGAGCTCTGGATGACGGAAGCAATGCCCAGCTAGCTGCAATCTCCTGGAGGCTATCTTATCACTGACCTTTGGGAGGTTACCATATAGGGACTCGTTGGGAATCTGGCTTGACCAGTGAATGTCTAGAACCTTACGGAGCATGCGTGTGTAGGTTCCGTCTAGCGACTTCTCCTGGGCTACTGTCAGGGTCCAGCTCTCGCAGCCATACAGTAGAATTGACTCGATTGTGGCTATGAAGAAGCGCAATTGAGATCACTTCGCATTGTTGAGCGCCATATTCTGGACATCTTGTTTAGAGCCTGCCAGGCTAGTGCTTTCCGGACAGCTTTGTCCTTTTCTGAACTTTCGACCCAGGAACCTAGATATTTAAAATCTTCTACCCATTCGATTTCAGTGCCATCTAAGGTTTTGAGTGGAGTAGGGTTGTCAGTATTGAAGGGGAGGACTTTAGTCTTCTTGGCATTGATACATAGCCCAACTTTCTTACACTCCCTCTCTACTCTAGATAACAGTTCCTGTGCTTGGACAATTTCATCTGATAGTAAGGAAATGTCGTCAGCGAAATCAAGATCAGTAAGAACTTGTTTTGGGTGTCTTCTGGATTTTCTAGGCAGTATGGTGAAACCCAGTTCCTCCTTATTTCCAGAGATGGCTTTTCACAGGGCATAGTCCAGTACTATGATAAATAAGAATGGTGCTAAGGTATCCCCCTGCAAAACTCCAGCAGTTATTTCAAACATACCAGTTTCTCCATCAGGTGTTACGATCTTGGCCATGGTATTGGTGTACATCTTTTCGATTGCTCGAAGAAGATTAGGTGGAATTCCATATGCCTTAAGTATGCGAATCATCTTACCTCGGTGTATGGAGTCAAATGCTTTCCGAAAGTCTATAAAAGTAAAGATTGCTTTCAAGTTGTTGGCTTTGACACCTTCGATTATTCGACGGAGGGCAAGAATCTGTGCAACTGTTGTTCTTCCAGGGCGAAAACCATTCTGATTTATTCTGAGACGTAGATCGATGACATTCCTGATACGATTTAGTATGAACCGATTGTAAATCTTGGCTATGATGCATATCAAGCTGATGCCTCTGTAGTTGTCAGTCTTCGATAGGTCGCCAGACTTGGGCACAGTTACAATGTTCATGAATGACCATGTATCTGGTTTGTCATTGTTGACGAGTGCATCATTACAGAAACCTAAACAGACACTATCAAAGTCACACAGTTTGAAGACTTCCGGGGGGATTTCATCCGGACCTGCTGCCTTGCCTAGCTTCAGGGAGGACTTCACTTTTCTGTATTCAGCTAGAGTGAAAGGTTCATCATTGATGTCGATATCATCGAACACCTTTGGAATTTCCTCCTCAGGCTCGTCTACATCAGGTTGATTTCCTAAGAGATTCTTGAAGTGCGTATACCATCTGCTGACTCTCTCTTCAGGGCTATTTCCAGCTACCTGTCCTTCCTTAGCTTTCTTTCTACCTGTGATCTCATTAACGACTTTCCATGCCTCTCCGTATCTTTGCTCTCCATGTGCAGTTTCAATACCTTGTATCTGTTCCGCTAGTATTTCTTCTTGTGCCATCTAATATGCTTGATAAAGGTTATTTACTGCTACAGACCAGAGATCTTTGTCTTCGTCAGTTTTGGATGACTCATACTGCCTCTGGGCTTCTTGTGCTTTCTGACGAGCTTCAGAGACTCTGAGGTCTAATGACCTGAGTGATTTCTTGATTTTAGCTCTTTTAGGGAGACATACTTTCATTGCTTCTTGATTGACTTTTACGAACTTTTCGTATCTTTCGCTGTTGCTCTCATCCATCAGAATTTGAAATCTGTTCTTAACAGCGAATGTGTATTTTTGCTGAAGCTCAGTATTGCTGGAGAACTGTTTCCAGTCGTATTTGACTTTCTGGGCTGTTTTTGAGGTTCTCAGACTGAGCTTGATCTTTGCAGACACTATTCTATGGTCGGACTTCACTGTGCTGAAGGAGTTGTACGCTTCTGCGTTATGGACGCTATTTCTCCATTTTTGCCGAACAAGAATGTAATCAAGTTGTCTCAGTGTGTTAGATGCTCTACATTTGAATGTCCGAAGTTTTCCAGGGCGCTTCTTAAATTGTGTGTTTACTGCTAGTAGACCAAATTCAACGAGAATTTCAGCAAGATAGTTTCCACTTCTATTTGTTAGCTCATGAAATGGATGAGGTACATGTTCGGGTCCCAGTCTAGCATTGAAATCTCCCAAGACTGCAAGGAAGTTGTGGGCTGGTACATCTTGTAGTACGTTTCTTAGCTCTGTGTAGAATTCCTCGATGACAGAATCCTCTGCGCAGTTGGTAGGAGCATAGATAACTATGATGGTTGTACGAGGATTTCCATCGAATTCAGCTACTAGTATTCTTCCACTCTTAGATGAGACAATTTTCAGTAGAGATTTTCTAGCTTTCCTATCTAAGAGGAGTCCAACTCCACCCTGTGCTGCTTGGGATTTGTTTCTCCATCCAGATGAAGTCACTAGAGTGCTTGTGTCAAACTTGGTATACTCAATGGGGTCAGAGTGTATGATGCGATGCTCTTGCACACCGAGAATTCCTATGTGTTGCAACTGGCTGCAATGCTGTAATTCCCACTTCTTATCCTCATCAATTAGTGTGTTGACGTTGTAGGTTGCAATGTTAGTTGTTTCATTACAGCGTAAAAATGCCTTCATACGTCCACTGTTCTCAGATGCCACCCCCCGAGGATTCCGGTTTGTGGCGACATCTTCATTCCGTCGCTGTTGCGAGCGACTAGCTTCAGTATTGATGACAGGGTTCCAACTCACTCCCGGAGCTGGAAGTATAGGATTTGGCTTACGAGACGTGTTCATGGTTGGTTTACGAAGCGATGATAATTCAATTGGGTCGCTACTCCTCAAATGAATACTTTGGGCCGGATTGAGATGAGATCCTCTCTTCGCCCCCATTCTTCGATACAAGCAGGATCAGAAGTTTCCTCCTATGTATATAGGTAACGCAGGAAACACTACGCCTATTTTAAGTGATAGGTCACTAGGTATTTGTCTTGGCACCAGAGCGTATCCACACGCCGGTGGGTCATGCATGCCAAAGACTTTAAGGGATACCTATCCCCGAGCACATGACCTCATTACTGAGTCTGCTATTAACAGCCGCGAAGCTGCGTTCTACGGGAGGGCGGGCGAGAACCGTTGTCATGCACTTGTGAAGATAACCTATAATCAGAACGTACTCCGACCGGTGCTTCGAGACAGCTGTGGAGGGAGCCTGATAGAACTGAAAGCTAAAAGCTTATAGGCCACCAACACCAAGCTACTAAAAGCATAATGTACCAAGCAACTAGCTAAAGCCAACTACAAAGCACTACTTCTAGCAGCTCCCTCCCAAAATAAATAAAGGACCTGACCAAATCACGCTCAAAATCTTAGGATCGAACGTCCTTAATATTATCCACAAGTCAGATAAAGATGAATTTTCATTCAATAAAAAATACATTACCACAAGGATTTTAAATTATAATTTTTGAAAGCAAAATAGGCTAAACAATTTAATATTAGACCTAATTCCGGTAGTAATTAAAAAAGTGAAATAAGATTTTCCAAGTTAGAGGGCACTTCTTTCAAAAATAATTTCTTTTGCGTGTTGTATTAAGACTGTAGTAACATTTTTTTCGTTCGTGATCAGGGCTATTTAATACTTTAATATACATGTATATTTCCAGTTAATTTGGCATGACAATTGAAGATATACATGTACAGATGTAAAAACGACGAAAATGGCTACATGTTACGCTTGGTTTGAACACCTAGTGCGGTAAGTCAATGGGTTTTCATACCCATTTTTATACTTTTCTGCTAACTGTAAGTGGTAATTACTGGAAATTTCTATTATTCACCTTTACAAAATTGGTTTATTTCTCATCTTTATATTTTTTGTCTGCTAAAAATTATATGTCATTGTTCATATAATACTTTTGAGAATTTCAAACAAACTATTAAACGTCACAAAGGTAGCAACACACGACAAACTGTTTTACAGACTTTTTACTCATTGAAAGAAATTAGATTACTTTCAACTATGATTCTTTTATGTACTTCTAAACATAAGATTAGAAAAATACAGGTTCTAGTCGCTACTGTTTTGTCAAAGTTTCTGCGAACACTGATCGCAACTGCAATTATTGAAATGTAAATATACGAGTAATTAGAGGACAAATAATAGTGTATGGGCAGATATTTTGAAGAAAAAAATCTTTTCTTAATCTATCTAATTTAAAGAACGCACATAGTACAGTTAGTCGTCGATGACATGAATGGCAATTTCTATACTAGACGTCAAAATTTAAAAAATATATTATTCTAAAAAATGCTTCAATGAATTAAAAAAAACTTACTAGAAAGACTTATTGATACTTATTTCGTTGTGTATTATCCAAGGATCCTTCATATTTCTGACAATTGAATAAATATATACTTTTCCTACCAATTACAGATTTTAAAAAAACGAAATATAAAGATATCAACCTACTAAAAAGATCAATTAAAGTCATTTGTAGCAAGACAAATTTGGATTAGATCAAATCAACTTTTAAATCATCTGAAGTGGGATCACGTGTCATGGAGGAGTGAGTATCCCCTGTTGTCTGGACACACCCACTGTGCTTTTTTCCTAATGATCAGGAATACGGGATATTCTGTAGGAAATTTAGCGTGAAAATACTGAATAAATAATTTGTACAATAATTCTTTGATTTCTTAATTATTCGATGGTGAATATTAATATTAGTATTAGTAGTAGTAATGATGTGAAGAGTGTAGAGTGAAAGGTAATTTTTCTCAGTAAGCTTTTTCGGAAAAAATATGTTATATTTTCAAAAAATATTGTGGTGTTCTTGGGGCTCTAACCCTGACAACACAAATCCAAATATCATTTTTTACTATCACTAACTCCTGATGAATTGTGGTTCAGTGTATTGACATATTCCAGTATACGAACGCTGGGCAAAGTTATTCTCAAATAATATAAGTTGTAACATGTAATTTGATTGGTTAAAAGATTTCATCCATTTCGTAAACCATAAGTTGCCTACGTTGCACTTGAGTAACGTCAAAAACGCATTACTCCGCTTGACGTTACCTTTAAAACGTTCTCAATTTGAAGCCTTTTTCCGGAGGAAAATTCATCTCATAGTCAACATTGAAATTAAATTATAAGGAATCGCGGTTTATAACGCGTAAACCTTCCCAAGTTATGTTATATTGTATGACAACAGTTGAAATAAGCTTCATTCATTATTCATCTCACTACTCTGCTGGCCACACAAAATAGATTTTCAGCAGCCTTTGACACCCATGTAAACAATTCCTATGCTTTGAGTATTTACTTCGTTTTTTTTGTTTTTTTTTTTGTTTTTGTTTTTTTTTTTTTTTTTTTTGCTAAAAAAACAAATTTATCATTCGTTCATCGAAAAGTACATTCAAAGAAATCTCTGCGCAAATAACTAATAGATACATGTAATTTTTAAAAGCTTAGCATTAAACTTTTTTCGGGGGGGATATTACAACTAAATCTTATCCGGTTGATAGCACCATATATGGTGTGAAACAAGAAAACACAAGATAACAATTGAAAATGAAATTTGAAAACCATAAAAGCAGAGTTTTAGCAAGGATTCAATTTTGACATTATAAGCAAATGTTTTGAGATAACTAAAATTAAATACTGCTTACAATTTATAAACTATCGGTTGTTAAAGTTATCTTTCTAAATATTATAAAATCTCTAAAATTAACTCTTGCTGAAAAAATATCATTTTGGGTGAGGGGGGAGGGGGGTTGGGCGTGTGATTTTGCGTTGTGCTAAGAATATCACTTATGCATGTACGATAAAAAAAAACGTATCTTGTTATGAAGAACAACATAAACAAGTAAAATATTATTGGATTCTCGGAACCACCACCGTTGTAAGGACAAAGAATACGTTTATGTGGAAAAGTATCAAATTGTCACAAAAATAGATAGCAAAAAATTGACGTATAAAGGTGTAATTGTTCACAGAGTAACAATATTCAGCTTTCTTATATAATATCTAAAGTAACACACATCCGAATTTTGGAGCACATAGAAGAATTATGCATTAACGTCTGCTTCCTTGTTTTGTTTTTTTTTTGTTTTTTTGTTTTTTTTTTTTATTGTTTGATTAATTTTAACAGAGGTTTTTACTTTTTAAATGATATAGTCTTTCAAAGCAGTAATAATAACAACCTGTAATGTAATATTTAAACACGTGCACAATCATTTTCATGCAAATAATTCGATCCACATGTATAAGGCGGTTTTTTTACGTGGCACTCAAATGTTTTCCGATTGTTGGAAACATATCATAGTATAGATAAAAGTATCGATGAGGGAAAGTCATGTTTGGTTTTTTTCTGCGATATATCAAAGGCTTTTGATGGAGTCTGACATAAGGGTTTTCTTTTTAAACTGCAGACTCACGAAATATCCGACAATTTTTATGAATGATTCAACTGTTATCTGAACAGTCGGAGCCTGAAAGTATTGTATAAAGATATCTTATCTTCTAGCACGATTATTAATGCCGGGTACCACATTGCTCTGTCCTTGGTCCCGTACATTTTTTTTTAATTGATGCAAATGATGTTTCAGAAAATATGTCATTATGTAGATTATTTGCAGATGACAATTTTCTTCAGAATTCTTCGTCACTTTGTCAAATGTTGCCAATATAGAAAATAACATTAACCATGATCTAAATAATTTAAAGTAATGGTCTAAAAAGGGTTACGCAAGTTCAATCCTTTCAAATCTAAAGCTGTTTTCTTTGCACTTAAAAAGATTTTTAGCTTCCTAAACCCCTACTGACCGCTCACACCCGCTGTGTGTTCCTTGTCATGATCGGGAAATAACGGAAAAATCCGCCGTCAATTCAATGTATAAATTATTGACTAACAATTAGTATGAAAAACGTCAGTCAGCATTTGACTTAATAATAAATTGTATTTGCTGACAAGGTCATTGTATCGACCATAGAACGTACGAAATGATGACTTTAAACGAGACTGCTGATATTCTTGTTTCATCAACTTGTTTGTCAATAATTTGCCTCGTTTTAGAAATTGTTTATTCGTAGAGCATGCTCTTGCGTATCGAATCAACTGAGATATATACACTCCGTATGCAAGTGATGAAGGTATATATTGCTGCATAAGTAAGGGAATTGACGATAGAAAAGTTTAAGTCATCACGTTTATCATATAGTTTGGTTGTTAGATTACCATTAACGTAAATTTCAAATAAAATATCCAAGTATGAAACAAATGTATCAGACTCTGTGGTATCTTTTATCTCAAGCTCTCCAGGATATATCTTATTGACGTAAAAATGGAAATTAGCATTGTCAATTGACAATACGTCGTCGATATATCTAAATTTCAAGTTGAAGGCCACGGCAAGTGTTTTCTTCTTTTTACGCATAAGATTTTGCAAAAAATTCTGCATCATATGAATACAAAAATAGGTTTGCTAAAAACGGTATGCAACTGGTACCCATGGGAATTCCAATAGATTATTGTGTTGTCTCCCGAATTGAAGGAGTACCACACTTTTGTTAAAATATATGTAATGCTCGAGATATCGCCAACATAGATCCAAAATATGCATAATAAAACAGGTACATGTAGCATACTAGAGTATTCTTAACATTTGTCGACAAATAACAAATTGCAATATTAAACCGTTAGACCTCTGTGAAAAGGCTATACCGGAGGACGGGAAGAATATTATCGACGAAAAATTGATATGGACTGTTAAGAACGTGATTGATAGCGACCAATTTTACAGTATATCTCATAAGTCCCTGGTTTTAGAAAAAATACACTAGCTTAATGATGTGCGTAACGAATTTAAAGGTACTTGGACACAGATTT